ATATAGTTGTGTTTACCATACCATAAAACAGTAAGAGAAGGTATGACCTCTCTCATGACCCCAGGATGTGTGTGTGTATGCCAGAGTGCTCTGGGAGGCACACAGAGTCTTTGCAGACTGCTAAGGATCAGACATCCTATCATTATGCAATCGATTATAAAACTAAGCATATATGAGTAAATATTTCTAAGCATGAATGACGATCCACAATATAAACCTGACATTGGACACTGGCGACAGTGGCAGAGAAAAGGACACTAAAGAAACTGCTGGACATTATGGACAATGCTGAGCATTCTCTGCACACTCGTAAATAATCAGAGGAGCCTATTCAGCGACAGTTTGCTTCTCCCAAAGTCAAGAACCAACAAACTTAAAAACTCCTTTGTCCCACACGCTGTTACGGCCCTGGGCTGGCTGTGTACCTCTGTTGTGCTCTGTGTCTTTAAGAGTCTAGCCAATGGAAAAGTTTTCCCAATCCCTGAGGTAATTGAAAACCCCGTCAATGATTCTGTTTTTGTTTTTGAACCTGTCGCTGACAGTCTGCCCTCTGTTTTTCCTGCCTGTGTTGTCACGCGCGCCCACAAGCGCAAATACGGTGATGTTGACTTGTTTACAGTGTTAACCATTCCTCGCCGTCAGTCCCCTAACCGTGGTCGGGAGACACGAGGGGAGATGCTTCCTCCAGGGCCGAAGTTTGTCCTCCTTCGGGGTTAACTCCCTTCACTTTTGTGGAGTAGTGAGGCAGACAGAAATCAGCCGAGGCACCGGAGAGTACTGAAGAGATGAGGCTTTTAATAACAGTACTGCACACTTCAAAAACACACTGCATAGGCTGTAGCCCGTTAGAACGCTGCTCCCGGTCGCCCTCTCTACCCATGACATGCACTCTCTCTCTTTTTTTTTCTTCCGCTCCCCGCATTTCCTTCACGCGCATGCTCACACACACATCACATACACTCCTTACTGCACCCAGCCACACACAAGACAGCAATTCCCGCAACACTACCTCCACTCTGGATGGCAATTAAACAATAATTCCACTCCAGCATTGTAATGGATAAAACTGGTACACAATCCCCTTTACCACTTGGAGCCCACAGGAGATAAAAGTGTTAGCCATTACCGCATATAAGGTGAGGTATAGTATCAACTAGTGCACTTCAGTGACAAAGACGTTGGCTCAAGTAAGGTGTACATACATGTGCAAAATAAAGCATTTCAAGTGCTGTTAAGTAGAAAAGAAATTACACAATTGTAACTATTACATGGCGACCGGGAATAACTAACATATCCTAGTATCTAGATCTAGGAAGGCACAAATACAAATGGATAAGTGCATGTAGATAACCCCATAGGTCCTTCAGATACTTTACTCACTTTTTTTCAAATGTAAACACTGGAACAATGAAAAATATAGCCCTCTTAAGCCATTGTAGCTAACAGTGTAGGAGGCTGAAATGATTTAAACTTGAACTGAATCTTCAGTCCTACTTGGAACTGTCCATGGTAGGTAAACCAAGCTAAGTGATCCACACCCCATACCGGTGTGGAGCTCTGCGCCGACGAGTTGGTTGCCGAAACTGCTGGCTCAGGTGGTCTGGCTCACCCACCACACCCCCACCATTCTCATGGTCTACATGGGAAGGGGACGATGGGATAACCACAACCGGAGTGGGATCAGCTGCAACTGAGACAGATGGCTGAGAGGAGCTGGGGCCATTGCCAGTTGCAGTAGAGAACAGACTGTGCAGACCCAGATCACGGTCTGCTGGGTCATCCTCTAAAGCTGGTGGTGGGACCTCTGTAGGTGACCACTGATGAGCTTGATCAAGGACCCAGGTATTGTCCAGGGGCTTGCGGCAGCGATAATGCTTTAGCTGGTCATGGTGGACAACTTTCACTTTAGACCTTGGGTTCTTCTGGATCCGATAAACTAGGTCATCCAATTGCCCCAGGACAAAGAATGGTCCTTCATACGATGGGAGGAACTTTCTGACCTTGTTCTTGATGTGACGTGTTCCTTTGATGAGATACCACACATGATCTCCAGTCTTATACTGTGTGTGGCAACAGTTCTTGTTATATTGCCTTTTTGCGCGCTTGACTGACTCACCCAGGGCTTCCCTGGCGATGAGGTGGGCCAGCTCCAGCCGCTCACGCATTTGCCG